CCAGCGACACTGGTGTCACGACCCTAGTTCACCAACCCTGAACATGTCATGACGGCACCTGGTCCCCATGACCTATGTAAGCCTAACAGTGCAGAATTAACAATTCAACTTGAGGAATAATCAATTAAAACCGAACATATGGAAAATAACAACTGAATATAAGGCCGCCCAGCCTATACAACTCTAAAGATATGCAGAGGTCTACAACTCAATCCCAAAACCCGGAAACTCACGGGAAACACATGCTAATAGGATTACCATAAGTACTCTAATCTCCAGAATATCTACATCAAGAATATGATAGGATAACAGCTCTACAACTAGAATAAGTAAGAAGACTCTCCGGTCTGCGGACGCTGCAGATATACCTCGAAGTCTCCGTGAATCTCCTCGCCTCAAGGATAGTGCGCCTGAGAAGAGGTACCTGGATCTGCACATGAAAAACATGCGCAGGAAGGGCATGAGTACATCACAACGGTACTCAGTAAGTGCCAAGCCTAACCTCGGTTGGGTAGTGACGAGGAAGGTCAGGGCCCTACTGAGGCAAAATATAATAATGATAATTAACGGTATGAAAATCTGAAAGAAATAATGAGTACAACAGCGAACTAAGGTAGGTCAACGAGGCAATAACAACTACAAAAGAACAGAGTAAACATAGAATAAATACAGCTCAATATCAATGATAACAATGAGGGTCTCCCAGGATACCGTCCTGTAGCCCTTTTCTCAACTGTCCAGTGGATCTCCCGGGATACCGTCCCGTAGTCCGTCATATGTGTATATCCGAAGGATCTCCCGGGATACCGTCCCGTAGTCCAACTATCAATGTGCAGGGGATCTATCGGGAATCTAACCCGCAGTCCAACTATCAATGTGCAGGGGATCTATCGGGAATCTAACCCGCAGTCCCAAAGTAAATGTACAGGGGGATCTATCGGAATCCCACATCCGTAGTCCCAATGTAAATGCGCAACCAAAACCAGAAGATATTCAAAAATGGAGTACCAAAGACAAACATCAGGTAGTACTAGCCTAGCATGCTTCACGTAGTACAATCAAGGCAACTTAAACAATTAGGCAAGTTAAATCAACTAAACATGCTTTTCTAATCTAGCACAGGTTATAATGGCAAGTAGAATAAAGCAAATATGAAAGGAACTCAATCTCAATATCATAAGGAAGCCGGATTTTCAACAATTGGCTCAAGTACGCGCCCGTCACCTCGCGAACAAGGCACTCAAATCAACAAATAACAAATCCTAAGGGGGAAGGTCCCCCACACAAGGTTAGACAAGCCACTTACCTCGAATCGGCACCAAAATCAACTCGAAATCACACTTTTGCCACGAGTATCCGACTCCAAATGGCCCAAATCTATTCAATTCAATTACATATCGTAAGTAATATTGCAAACAACCGATTCCACTATTAAATTTACAGCTAAGGCGCAAAAATAGGTGAAATAACCAAAACGCCCCTCCACCCAACGTCTCGGAATCGAATAATTTTCACATTTTCAGAACCCTCGTACTCTCACGAGTCTAACCATATAAAAACCTCCCAAATCGGAGGTCAATTGCCCACTCAAAACTCAATAATTAGGTCTATGAAGTTTCTTCAAATTTTTGATCCTAAATTCGAATTCCAATGGTGTATTTAACTATAAAATGATGAAATATAA